GCTATGATACAGGTGATTTGCTGAAGCTTTTGGATGTTTCAACGGCGGACAATGTGTTGCTAACTACATATGGCAAGTTACAGCCACCTCTTGGACAACATCGTTTAAAGATTGTAGAGTTCGTTGCACTATTACTGAGGGTGGGTGGTGAAACTGTTGAGAAGGAATTGATTCGTCTCGGAGCAATACAAAGAATTTTAGACTTGTTTTTCAAGTAAGCTTGAGAATTTTCTTGTCGAAGAAAGAGTGTTGATACAAGGTCTTACTTCTCACGTTTTGTTCTCCAGGTACCCATATAACAACTTTGTCCATCACCACATAGAGAACATAATAGTATCATGTTTAGAAAGCAAGAATGCTCCTCTTGTACAATATCTTCTTTGTGAGTGTGATCTTGTCGGAAAAATACTTACAGCAGAAAATAATTACACTTTAGGAGCTGATCCAAAACGGCCGACAGTTCCTGATGAGGGTAGATCCCCACCCAGGTTAGGGAACATTGGACATTTAACGCGTATATCCAACAAAATCATTCAACTGGGAAACAACAATAGCGAGATTCAGGCATATTTGCAGGTTCGTACTTTTATTTCTTCGTATATATGTTTCTTGTTCTGTGAGGTTCTAATATTTATATATTGGAATAAATATTTACATGAGAAGCTTTCTTGTCAGGAAAATAGAGAGTGGACCGATTGGCATACGAATGTCCTATCAAGGCGTAATACTGTGGAGAATGTCTTTCTATGGGCTTGTGGGTATGTTTTCCTCTCAAAAGTAGTTGGTTTGAACCTGCAAAGTAACTCACCGTACTGGTTACATTCAGTCAGTGTTTTCATTTCTGGTTATGTCTGATGTATCACTGTTCTCTTGTTTACATCTAAGCTAAGTATTTGCGTTCGGAGCTAAGCTAAGTATTCGTGGTGTAATCAATTGTAACAGGAACCCGGCAGTACAGGAGGAGATGTGTGATATGGAAGATGATTATAGAGCAGTTAAGCTGATACTTCCTACAAGCCCCTGTAGAAAAAAAATGCGTTGCTCGCCTACAGATAATGTTAGCGAAGATGTTAGAACATCGGAACTGGAAGACCAGAAGATATAGTGGAAGTGTTTTCATGATAGCATCTCTTTATGTATTGAGGTGTTACTGAATTTGAAAAATTGATGTAAGGACAGAAGATTTTGTCAGCTTCGTTCTCTGGTCTCACTTGTCCAATGTCATTGCAAGGCTATTATCTCCCAGTTCAAGCATTTTGAAATGAAGCATATATGCATGGAGAAGAACACGGTGACTGATTTTCTGACTATCATCCTTCTGTCTTCGGATGAACCAGCTGGAGTTGCAAGGCCGAAGGCCGTTTGCATAAGCCTAGTGAGCTATTTTTTTCATTTCGTTTACTGTTTGCTTGGGCTTTGGGGGACCCAATTTTAACCAATATTGTGAGATAGTTTGATAATTATTTCATTTTTGGTTCTGAAAATGCACTTGTAGTTTTCAAATCAACTAATCCGATTTGTATTTTTGTTCATTGGTTATATTGGTAGATTTGAGGAGCTACATATTATTATGGGGTTTCCTTTGATAGAGGACAGTTAAGAGTCGGAAAATGCAAAATAAAGGCTGGTTTTTTTTTAACTTGCGTATGGCCGGTTTATAATTGATGGTGCTAAATTAGTGTTTCTTGCAAGTTCATGACGGCGCTGAATGTGGGCCTCTCTTGCATCAGCGGTCTACATTCATATGGTAACATTGTGCTTTGTAATAAAAATCATTTGTGCTTCGTAGTGAAAATCATTTGTGATTGGATGCATCGATCACATCTCATAAAAACATGATATACTTAGTTGTGATGAAGATCACTCAGAATTTTTTGAAAAAGAATATGAGGAATCAACAATAATTAAACATTGAGAAGGAAAGTGGACAAGATGTGAAATTGAATGAGGTGATACTTTTGAAGTTGGTTTAACCCAGTAGTGTTTGTACTACTAATAAGAAAAGTTGAACTCTTTTTATAAATGTGGGTTAGCCCAGTAGTGTTTGCACTCAAGTTTTATTTAGCTGTAAGTACACAATAACTACTCAATCTTTAGAGCAGCTGCAGCGTATGTTGGAGCCGGATGGACAAGCGACTTTGAAGACCCACACGCCCCAGAAACAACCTCCAGCCCATGCAAGCGATTGGGGAGGGAGGAGGCCCAAGTGAGAGGCCCAACGCGAATTGGTGGCCCGACAGCTTGAGGACTGTCTAATGCATGGCTGACGCCATGGTAACGTCAGCCACATTTAAAATTAATAAAAAATGTTAAAAATTAATAAAAAAATGTCAAAAAATTAATTTTAAAAAAATAAAAAAGTAAACGATTGATTAAAAAATCCGAAAAAAAAATTTAAAAATTAAAAAAAAGATTTAATTTTTCAATAAATAACTTATCATTATCTTCCACCTTATACCACAATTTTATATTTTCTCAAATACTTTGGATTGTAATTTCTTATTTAATGAAATGTGGTACATCGAGACCAATTAAAAATCATATCCGAAATTTGAAATAAAATAATTTTTTTTATTATTTTATAAAATAAAAAATACTAATATTTTATTGCATATTGCCATGACTATTCAGTTTAAGGGTGGAGATGCAAAAGATAGTTACTGTTCATTAAAGACAATTACGGTTCACTGGAGGCTATTCAATAGTGACTTGCCCTAGGGAGCCTTTGCAACGCTAGAGTTGCTCTTATGGGGTGTTTACCAAATGGGAATGAGGTAAGTGGAATCGGAATTGCATTCCTTCAAATGCATTCATGTGTTTACTTGTATATAGGGAATGAAAACAAAGGTGGGGTCCATCCGAAATGGGGAATTCAATTCCGGATTTGTCCGGAATCCGATTACCAAGATATAGTAGGTAATTGAATTCCAGAAGAAAAGGTCCATCAGTAATCAAACTTTTCTTCCTAAAGTGCCCTTGTACTTCTGTTTATATCCCAAAACACTCATGCAGCTTCAACACTCCTCTCTCAGTGGACTCCCTGCAACTTCTTCTCTAATTTCTCTTCGTTCTGCGACTTGAGACTGGAGCTTTCAAGGTCCATCTTCCTCGCCTTTAGTCAGCTGTTGTTTATCCCAAACCTGATTCATGTCCCTATTTTTGTATATTCTCATTTCGACTCTTCGATCCGCCGACTCTATGGTTAAAAACTCATTCACTGCCTCAATTGGGAAACTAAAAATTGGGGTAAAAAAAAAAAAATTAAGGTTGGGACATGGAGGGAGGGAGCATGAAGGGTTCTTCGCAAACGTGGGGTGGGTTGGCAGCAGAGAAAGATATTTTAGAAAAGAGTAGGTCGGCAGTACTTTGGTAGCAGAGAATGATGGGGAAATTTTAGAAATGGGAAGGTCGGGAAGGACGGGGAAGAGAGGAAGAGACCGAGGGTCACAAAAAAAATTGGAAAAATGAAAGAATGAGAAGAAAGAGTTTTTGGGAAATTGAAGTTGCAGAGTTTCTAGATGGTTTTGGAATTGTGAATGAGAAGAACAAATACTAAAAAAAATAAATAATGAAAGATAAAAGTTTTAAAATAATTAGCATAGAAAATAGATTAGTTAAACTAGAGGTGTTTTAGTAATCACATCAGTTTTCATTCCGATTCAAGTAAATTAGTAAACAGTTTATATGGATCAATGTCATTCTTACTCCGATTCCAGACAGTTTTAGTAAACAACTTCAACAGTAATCTTATTCTGATTCCGCCTCATTCCAATTCCTCCTCAATTCAATTCCTTCTCAATTCAATTCCTCTCAACCTGATTACGGATTAGTAAACGTGTCATTAAGGTTGATCCTAAATTGATTCAAGCCTTTAAAAATATTTTAAATAAATATATATTGTTTTGAAAATTGCACATTGACATCATCAGAAAGGCTAAGTCATGACGCAGACAAATAAATTGAAGGGCGTATTATGTTTTCTGCCTACACTCACCAACGGAGAGCTTGAAGTGCTCAAAACTGCCAGCTTTAGCCGAACAAGTATAGGTTTTAATGGCTAAAACAAGTTGATTTGAGGATTCAAGGCTCCATAGATGACGGATGTTTTTCGTTAAAGTTCCCCATTTAAAACTAGTAAATGTCCTATTATAATACATAAATTAGGTGGTTATTTGGAATGCTTAAAAATTTAGATGTTTGGGGGTATTTAACCTTTTATCTATGTCGGTTTATTAATTAGAGTTTACTCAATGAGAAATGGTAATGAGACTTTCCATGGACTTTCTGCACCTTACATTTTATTGCATAATATTTTATAACATTGGCACAAAAATTGTGTCAAAAACACAAGGTGGTGGAGGGTTCATATAGAATCCCATTTGTGGGAGAGTCTTCTTAGCATTCCTCTTGACAAAAATGCTTTCATTGAAAAAATAAGGCTTTTTAGCTAAAATGGTCATTGAGATTTGCATAACTCATCATTTTGATCTATGAGATTTGAAATCAATAGAAGTAGTCGTTGAAATTGTCTTTCATCAATCATTTTGGTCTTTTCTTGAAAAATTATGTTACCAAATGACAAAAATACCCTCATTTTAATAAATAATTGGTCAAAATGATTTGACAAAAATTGAGGATATTTTTATTATTTTATCTGTATTTAATAAAGATATTTCAAGGAATGACCAAAATGATTAACGGTGGACAAACTCAGGGACCACTTCTATTGATTTCAAATTTCAGGGACTAAGAAAAAGTAAAAAGTAAAAAAAATAATAAGAAAAAGTTGGCCAAAAGTAAAAACTATCTAAAGTGAGGAGTTATGCGAATCTTAGAAACCATTTTAGTTAAAAAGTAAAAAAAATAATAAGAAAAAGTTGGCCAAAAGTAGTTTGCTATGTTACACTTGTACGCGCGTGTTTGATTGGCTGACCCATGTTTTTCTTTACACTTGTGCCAGGATATTAAAAAGCACAGCTTCACCCCACTCCCCACAGACACAGCCCCACCCACAGACACACACAATTCGCTTGAAAAATAGCCCCCTCTCTCATCTGCCCTAAAAGATGAGCTCTTCTGAACCGCCCAAGCCTCCCGCTGATGGGGAGAAAAGAAAATCAATATTCTCATCAGCTGAAGGGGAAAGCAAAATTCAAAAACTCTCAAGTAAGTAGTGGATCCTATTTCAAAACACAAAAATTCTCCATCTTTTCAGCCTTTTGGGATTTTAATGTTTGTGTTTTTTGTTTTTGTTTTTTTTTTTAGTTTCTTCTGGTGATGGTGGCAGCTGTAGTGTTCATCAAGCAGCTAAAGCTAAAGGTCAGATCTTGTTTTCCATCTTTTATTCCAAAATGAAACAAATTGTTTATGGAATTGTTTTTTTTTTTTTAACCGAAGGTTTATGGAATTGTTTCAAAGTTGTCATTTTTAATGCATGGGGTTTCTGATCTATGTGTTCAAATTTTTTTTAATATAGTGTTGTGTGATCTCCAAAAAGTTGGCACCTTTTTCTTTTTCTTTCTGTTTCTAGTTTCTTGCTTTATTTTATTTTATTTTCCTTAAACCCCTATATAAAATAGAGAGATTCTTATCATATTCTTCAAAAGTTGGAATGAGGCGTTTTGGATTTTAAATATTTTTTTTCTTTTTTTATAGCTTTTTCTGGTGGTGGCAGCCGTGTTAAGTTGTGAAGTTTATTTCGTTTTCAGCCGGGCTGTTACCAAACCTTATTTGTTGTTCTTAGGGATTGAGGAGGAGGAGGCTGTTGATGAGAAAACAACTGAGCATGCTATTGATGAGGAACCACCAGAGGAGAGTGCTGATGAGGAACCACAAGAGGAGGCTGCTTATGAGGAACCGCCAGAGGAGGCTGCCGATGAGGAACTGCCGGAGGAGGGCCGCCGATGAGGAACTGCCGGAGGAGGCCGCCGATGAGGAACCTGAGGACGAGATTTCAGACGAGATGTTGGGCGATGATGGATATGACGATTGAGTGATGATTTACCCCTTACAAGTTCATGGTGAAAGTTAATATGTTTAAGACTAAAAGTTTAGTTCCGCGTACTTAACTACTACATATGCTAGCTACTTATATAGTTAATTATCCACTCATAGAGTCATAGTTAAGTACTCTTGGCCTCTGGTTGGACCAGATCAGAGAGGTTTATGGAGTTTCTTTATGCCACTGATGAAATGAAGTCTTTATGCTACTGATGAAATGAAGACCCAGCTTAATTAATTAAATTTTCTTTAAGACTTAAGTTTGGTTTAATTGCTTTTCTGTTTAGCATTCTTGCTACTTCGCACTAATTATAATTATGCTACATACTTAATTATCAGGCTGTACACACTCACATATATGTATGCATGCATGTATGTATGTATGTATGCATGCATGAATTAACCACACTAAGAGCTCGTTTGCAGCTTATTAATTTCTGCGAAAGCAAGAGTACTCTTACTTCAGATGTGTTGCATGTGTTTGCAAGTCCCTCCCCCGGCCCCCGTATGCATATAGCGTTGGTGGTCTCCTATATATTTACTTGTAATTCATTTTCTTGTTTCGCTGTCCTTGTCTCCCAGTCGGAGTCTAATCACCATGTTTGAAACGAGATTCTATTAATTAAGGATCTTTTTAATATTTTGTTGCTTTTAATTTCTTTCCTATTTGAATTTGAGGGGCTTTTAGGGTTAACTTACATTATAAATAGGTCATGTTGCCATTAGGTTTGCGATTTCTTATCATATATATATAGCCAAAACTTACCCTCCAATTTCATAAATGTAATTTTTTATAAAAACTATCAATTATAGCAAAAAAAAAAAAAAAAACCTAAATAAACCTGAATGCTCTAAAAATTAAAGAACAAATACACTAGACCTAAAATCCTTGAAGTTCCTTTCGATTCCAACTCATGTGATACATACAAAAGGACTACTGGCTTATGTCTGGAAAAAACTAATTTTGATTGCCGGAAAGTAGATTTCACAGCGGTTGTTTATCACCATATAAATGTGAAGAACACTAACAATAACAGTCACTACCTCAAGTTCATAAATGGAGGATTGAAAGAATTGGATACTCAGTACTCTAGCCCAAATCTCTGTAATATAAAGAAATTAGCAAAACCTTTCTCATATAAATATTTTTATATGTTAGATCAGTACATGTCTGACAACATGTGAAGCTTTTTCGCTATCAATACATGTTGTTAGACATAAGAGTTGATTGGAGCTTTTTCGCTTGTTTTTACTGGATGATTTAATCTTATCGTAGTTACTGTATCGAAAAGAGTTTTGTTACTTTTCCTAATATAAAAACGAAACTATATATGACTTATATAATTTGCAGTTACCTATAGGTTGATATATTCGAACAACAATTTTCTTCCCAATGACTTATATAATTTGCAGTTACCTATAGGTTGATATATTCGAACAACAATTTTCTTCCCAATGAATCCAGATTCATTGTGAGCCTATGAAAAAAAGCATACTTGCTCTCATTCATTAAGAGAAAAAGCTAGCACAGGTTAAGAAAAAAAATGTTTAATTGAGGTATTTGGGTCTATTCAAGAGTGATTTTGGCTATTTATAAATTTTTTATAAAAGTTGACATTTATGAAATTTGTGGCTAAAATTTGGCCATATATGATAACAACTCTAGGTTTGCAATCAATTCATATTGTTATCAATAAACTTTGGAGTTTTTTTTTCTATTTTTCGGTGAATTTCGAAGTACAGGCGATTTCAGTTTGTTTGGTAGTGGATTCTAGCGTGAGGATTTTATTTGATATCCCTTATCATATACCCCGCTGCGTTGGGCTGGTTTTATTTATTTTTCCGTTTTTTTATCTTAAATAAAAAGTAAGTCCAACCTTGGTTACTTTAGCATCCATGGTCCAACTTTGACCGATCGACGTACGTCTTATCGAAATTATACAGACCCCTTGGAATTTGGAAAGAGGAAAAAGTATGCTAGCTAGGTTAAGTAAGGATTCCCCAACGCAATGAAATAATTAGTACTCAGAACCCAGCAAATTGAACTCTCTCTCTCCGAGCTAAGGGGATTGTTGAAATGTTCAGGCTCGCTGGAGTATTGAAACGGGTTTACATATATGTATGAAGTTTTTTTGTTTTGATTTTTTTATTGATGTCGATTATAGAAGATGACCACACATATGGAAAACCCGAAGAAACGTCACCTATAAATAAAGATCTCAATAACATTGTAGCAAAATCTTAGAATTATATATACATAGGTGCGATGTCCCCTGCCAGGCTGCCACTCTTCTCCTCGCCATTGGCTTGGCGTGACTATTGAAACACGAACGAAATCTCTTTGATTTCTATCGACGATTAAAAAATAAAAAAAAATATAACTTTAGCCCTTAAAACTTAATTTCCTTCACATAAAACCCGACATAAGTTTTTTATTCGAATAAAACTTATTTACTAGATTTCACATCAACAAATTATTATTTATGTTTGACTTAACACATTTAAAATTTTCTGAATGCCTAAAATACCTCTATATGAATGTTTGATGTAAACAATTAATGCCATGTGAATTATAAGGGAGAATTAATAATTTTATAAAAAAAAAAACATTTGTTATAAATTCATTGCCTAATATATAATAACAATAAAACATGTCTAGTATATTGACATGCTTAATTAAGTCAGCCCATTGTTAGCACCCTATCCTCGTTTATGTACGTATTTCTCTATTCAATGAATATCGTACTTTCTCAAAAAAAAAAAAGTCACAAAAATTATATTTTACATATTAATGTAGGTAAATTATTTCACACATATATAAAAAATGCCTAATATATGTAAAACTTCATGCAAAATAATTTACCTAAAAAAATGTTATTTGATTCAAATAGTGCACCTGCTATTAAAATTTTAAAATGTTAGATTGCACAAAATAATTTACTCAATATATGCAAAATACTTGCAAAATAATTTACCTACATAATAAACAAACCCAATATATGCAAAATACATGCAAAATAATTTACCTACATAATAAAGCAATATTATTTTATTTAATACTAATTTACCTACAAAATATATTATTTGCTAATCATAAATTTACAAATAGGTAAACTAATTACATATGATATGATAATTTTTTAACATATATGTTAGTACTGCGCATATATATAAGTATGTGCAATAATTATTTGTTTATTATAATTAAGGTTAGTAATAATATTTATTGATTTGATTTGAATATTGTGGCATAAGTTGTAAATATTTTGTAATGATACGTCAATTACTTTTTTATTTGGCAGTCTTTTGGAAATTTGGATTTTATTATGATGTTTAAAATTAGATGGATTTTTATATAAGAAATAAGAGTTGTAAAAATCTATATCTAAAGAACCCTAAAAAAAAAAACCCCCCTAAATACTGAGGAGTGAATGGATTATGTAACATGAGAAAAGGAAAGCATTGTCGGGCCCCCATAAATGCATATATCATGATAGACAAATAGAGGGGAGGGTTTTCTCAAAAAAAAAAAAAAAAAAAAAAAAAAAAAAAAAGAAGAGGGGAGGGAGCAAAATGATGGACTGCATTTGCATGTGATCCCTAAGTACTCGTAATGGAAATTTTTGCTTTTTGTTTTATATTTTGACCAAACAGGTATTCTTTCCCATTTAAGGATAAAAAAAATGATTGTGTAAACTAACTGGCGTGGTGTCCAAGTTGATGTCTATCTCAGTCGACGGTATCTTTAAAAAGTTTCATTAAAAAGTTTTAGGGTCACAAACTTCATTAAAAATTTTTAGATAGAAATGTCCTCAAAACAAAAAAATTCAAAAACAACCCAAAATAATGTAAATGTATTTTTATCATTTTAACAGTAATTTTTAATAATTAATTCTTTTTGTATAATTTGTTTTTATTTTAATTAGTACCTCGCAATAGGTTAGCAATAATGTGATTCAACCAGTTGTTTATTAAATATTATTTTTTCTATTTTTAAACACGTTCAAAACATCTTAAGAGGCGTGTAATGCCGGTTATAAAAAAAAAATCTTTCGCACGGGCTTAATAATGTGATTAAATTAGTTATCAAATAATTGTTTATTTATTTATTTTAACAAACGATATTATCTACACTAAAGGAGATGGGTGGGCTTAGCCTCACAATAGGTTAGCAATAATGTGATTCAATCAGCTGTTTATTAAATATTATTTTCTCTATTCTTAATGTAAATTCAATAGAATGTAGATGGAAATTGAAAAACTGATTTATTATGTGAATTCAACTGCTTTGATTGGTTTGTGATGGGATTTTTTTTCTACCATGATCTAAGATTATTCATTTACTTCAAATATTTGACTTTCCTTTTGTCAATTCAAGCATATAAATACATTTAAAATATGTAAATTGCGCGTAGCACGCCGTGATTCAAAAAATGCCTTCTGTATGCGTGTGAATGCGTGCATGAAGGCTAGTGCTAATTAAAGTGAAAGTACTCTTACTGCAGATTTGTTGCATGTGTTTGCAAGTCCCTCCCCCGGCCCCCCTATGCATACAGTGTTGTTACGAGCATGGTCTCCTTTATATATTTTACTTGTGTTTCTCTTCTTGTTTCTTTGCCTTTGTGCCCTAGCTAGCTAATGGACGTGGTTATCCAACGTCGTTGCAAGGCTATTTATCACCCAGCTCAAACATTTTGAAATAAAGCATAAATATGTGCATGGAAAGAACATGTACGGTGACAGATTTTCTGACTGAGTTGAGTTTGTCCATTGATGTAGTGTAGGATCCTCCTTTGAATTTGCGTATGCCCTCTCTTTTCGGTTAATTATCTCTTCGGATGAACTAGCTGGAGTTGTCAGGCCGAAGGCCGCTTTTATATGCCTAATGAGTTTTTGAGTTGAGTTTTTGAGAAGTGCCTACCAAATAAGAATCTTGAACTTAATTGTGACTCAAAATTTGTTTTTGAGTTAGAAGATGTAGAATTCAATTTCAAAATACCGAACAGGCCCTTCACTTTTTCAATCTTTTATTTGTACCCTTAATTTTAAATTTTGATACGTAGCCTAAGGGCTGGTTTGGTATTGCTGTGCTTTGAAAAAAAAAATGCTTCTACTGTGCTGTGAGAATAAGCTCATTTTTGTTGCTTCATGTTTTCAGCTTTTTTCACAAAAGCTATGAAAATAAGTTGTTTTTGCACCTCAGTACCAAACCAGTACTTAATTAATCACGTTGGCCGTACCTTTTGTGGGTACTTAACATTTTTTTCCTTTCAACTTTGAGATTGGTAGATTACTATCGAAAGTGTCCCCAGGCGATGCTGCGGGTTTTAAAACCATATAAAACATATAGAAAGTTATAAATGTATATACAATAGGCAATACTATTTACATACATTTGAAAATCTTACAACTCTATTTACAAAAAAAGGAACAAAATAAGAAATAATTTTGGCAATACCATTTATATACGGTGACTTCATATTATGCAAAATTTGTGCAGACCCATTTTAAGAATAACATTATGTGATTCTTCATTGTACATATAATTAAATTGTTACCCCATTCTTCAACACTATCAATCTGTTTTTGCCTGGCTTACCGTCTCAATAACAAATCTCTCCCACTGAACACAAACACACACAACCAACTACAACTTCATTAAACTGGTTCTACAACGTTTGAATTGATGGTACACAATTCTGTGATTAGATGGGTCAAGCAAAACCGTATGCTTTTCATGCTTATCTAGGTTCAAGTGTATCCCTAATCTATACATTACCTATGAAATCCTTGTAATTCACAATGAACATGTTCTGCTCAGGATCAGTGGTGTTGGAGAATCATCCCACTGCACATACACAACCCCACGAAAATCGAAAGATACTTAGAATGAAGGCATGAGAAATTTAGATTTATTTCTAGCTTTTGAATTAAATAAAATCAAGCAACAAAATACGCAAAAACGTGCATAAGAAAAAAAAAGTGTGTGAAAATCATTTTCCTTTGAGTAAAATGAAGAAATTAAGAAATTACATGAATTGGGCCTGGGAATTTTGTTCGAAAATGTCAAAAATCATGCAGAATTAAGGGCCTTCTTGATTGGGATGAGCGGAGTGGGCGAAATGGGCACATTGGGATGTATTTGTAGATCAAGACCTGGTGTTCTAGCTCCATCCATTAGATTGAGTGAAAGGTCCTCTGCCTCCTGCTATACTCCATTGCATGGCAGCAACTCCATTACTCAACTCCCACTATTATGCCCTGAAACACAACCAGAAATCGGAAAACCGAAAAAAAAATAAAAAATATATTTGAAGTTGAAATTTTTTTTTAAAGAAAATTAAGCAATTCAGAGCCTTTGAAATTGGCCAAAAAACAGGAGAACTAAGCTTCTACACCTATAGTGAATATATTATGTGAACGTGGTTCTTGCTCTCTTTCTCTCAACATCACGATTATGAAACCTTCGACATAATCAAGAAAAAAATTTCTAAAGCCCAATTACATTAAATCACAAATTCAAAACATTATTTTAACATGCAATTATCGAAACATAAATACATAACTATAAATAAATCTTCACAGTTTTGGAGGAGAGCAGAGAGGAGGAGATGTGCGACCACCATGAAGCTCCAGAAGGTTTTCTAGTTGACCAGGAAGGAAGAAATCACGGATCATATGACTTTTTGTTCAATTTTCATAGACTATACAAATTGTTCAAACAGATAATTCGGGTCTTTTAACAAATATTTAACAGATAGAACTCAAAAATTTTAAGAACGAAAACAAAAGGTTCGAAATTTACTTAAACCCAACAATAACAGACGAAATTAAAATTAATTAGAGCAAAGTCGGTACAAATTCGAAATTCCAAAAACCAAAATTATATGCAAAATATCAAAATTTATAACACAAAGAACTCACCAAAATCGAATCAAATGGAGAGAATGAACCATCAGGATATGAGGAATGAGGCAAGGCAGGGGCCACTATGAGTGAGTTTTGGGTTGTGGATTTCAAATTTCTCATTCGGGGAAAGGATGAGGATTCTAGGTTGGGGAAAGCAAGGAGCAGGGAGAAAAAGGAGGATGCCCAAAAAAGCAAAACGATTTCTAGGCTTTGATGGAGTCTGTAGCCAGTTGGACTTGCTAGAGTGTTTTATCACTGTGCTGTTGAAGAGAAAGAATGACACCTAAGAACTCAACAGAAAGAATGGCAACCTTTTAATAACACAAACTAAGCAAGGGTAAAATCGGAATGACACTGTGCTTATGAACAGTGTTTCAGTTGATTTTCAGTTTTAGTATATATTGAATTTTCTAAACAAAAATGAGACTGGCACACTATTTAGTACTATAGTTTAATGATATTCTTTTTTATTTGTAAGTTGTAAGTAAAAGGTCTTAGGTTCGATTCTCGCCAAAGGTGAATTATTTGAACCACATTATTGCTAACTCATTGTGAGGCTAAGCTTACCCCATCCCCATAGTGTAGGTAATATCGCCTTGTAAAAAAAGGTTAATTTTGATGCATGAAGATCTAGAACTATGTTTTAGAAAAATATTAAGAGATGGGTTTCACCCATTTATTGTGTGAAAACGTAATTATCCACGAAAATTTGAATAAATTATGAGTAATATCAATGTGCAAGTGTGACAGTCCAAAAGATTATTCAGCATAACATATTCCCAACGACCAAATTAGTTTCACGAAGCCTAAGACGGGACCAACCAACTTGAGTCAATACATAAAGAAAGTTAAATAGTTTTATACAAGCAATACTAAATTTAAAGGAGGGGGAAGTTGAACTCGGGACTTTACGTAGATGAGCGAATACATTTAATCAAGTAAGTTACAACTTACGAGTCCCTTGCATATTCCTTAATTAGTTCTTTATCCGATAGATTCACTTGTAGGAGATATTTGTGTATTTTGTAGATTAAAAATAGGAAGGCATGGAAATTGCAAAAGAATCTTCAAGAGGGCAATCTAAACTGTATAAACCGGTCTGTACTATTGAGTTCAAACAAGCAAAAGGTCTCCAGTTTTAATGGACGAAGGCAATGTTCAAATTTTACCTGTTGCTATTGAAACAAATTTGGACCTCTTTTTCTTTTATTTCGAGCCGAAACAAAACAATGATATCCTTTTACGACATGCGGGATCGATGATGTGGTGACAAGGAATAAAATATCGGTAATATCGGAAATATCGGTAGTCCGAAAACACGGAAATATCGATGGAAATATCGGGATAATATCGATATCGATAAAAATTACATGGAAACCACGGAAATTGTAAGAAAAACTTAGAAATTTTTATTGAAACTTTGCAGGATGTTTATTTAGTCAATTATCTATTAGTTTATCACAAAAAATTGGAAGGAAATGCATTGCATGATAGATTTAACATTATCAAGTTGATTATATAGCGAGCTGACAAACATTGTGAATGTATAAAATATGTAGTAATTAATGAAAGAAATTTAAACACACAAATTGGGGCTTATTGCGGCAAGTTTTTTAGATATGACCTCGCATCAAGTCGTCTTTTGTGTTAATTTGTAATCTTAACTGGTTTTGTTGTGTTGTGTCAATTAGTTAAATTAAGCGGTACATCCAATTGGGGCTTATAAACATTTTAATTCTCCTTAAACATTCTAAACCAAATCTAACAAGGATCAATTACAATTCTAATACGATGTTGTAATTACTTGGAGTTTTTTAGGGCAATATGTAACACCCACCCCCATTTATAAAGATATATTTGTGTAATTATCCCCTAAACATTTTAATATATCAAATTGGTCCTCTTTGACTACCAATTAGGATCCAAAACATTGGATCCCTTTCTTTCTGAAGTGGCCACGTGACAGCCCCCCTCCACTCTTCTCTTTTCTCTCTCTATTCTCCCGTGACTCCCTTCTTATTTTCTTCTTCTTTCTGTTTTCTTTTCTTTTTCTTCTGTCTCCCTCTCGGCTCTCTCTCATATCTCCCTCATCTCTCTTCTCTGCACCGCAGCACGCACGCACCCATCTCCCTGCGAGGAACATCACCATCACCATCTCGTCCGTCGTCCCCATCGGCGCTCTCTACTCCCTCTCCCTCTGGCTCTCCAACTTCGCCTACATCTTCCTCTCCGTCTCCTTCATCCAGATGCTCAAGGTCCTCATGCCCGTCGCCGTCTACTCCATCGGCGTCGGCGTCGCCTTTCAAGCAATGTCGCGATAATATCGCTAATATCGCGATATTATTGCTAATATCGCGATATTATCGATATTATCGATATTATCTCGATTTTTTTACGAAAACCTATTGGATGTGTGGAAATATCGGACTCCGAAAAAAACAATAATATTGACGAAATATCGTCGCTATTATCGATTTTTTATACCATGGGTGACACAACTTAGGAACATGTTACGCGATGCTCAAATCATGAAAAGTTTGGCTCCAACAAATATTTTTGTGAGAAAATTCTTTCAACATTTTATTTAGCAGTAAGTACACATAACAACTCAATCTTTAAGGTTGAGTCTGAATTGATTCATGCCTTTAAAAAAAATTTCAAATAAATATATATTGTTTTGAAAATTGCACATTTGTTAAATCACTAGAGTCAAGTGACATCCTCAGCAAAGTTAAGGCCTGGTTTGGTACTGAGGTGATTCTGAAAAAAGCTGGTATAAAAAAAAGCTGGGAGCTTTTTTTGTGTTTGGTAAACATTCAGCTTCAGTTTTTTTTCACAGTTTTGGGTGAAAAAAAGCCAAAAACAAGAAGTTGCAAAACCCAGCTTTGAAAAACCGGCTTTTTTTTCACATTTGTTTTACATAAAAGTTTACCAAACACTATAATACTGCTTTTTTTTTTCAAAAGCATTTTTACAAAAAAAGTTTACCAAACACTCTACAAATTTATTTCACAGCCACTTACTCTCACAACATAGGAGAATCAGTTTTTTTTCAAAACACAGCAATACCAAACCAGCCCTAAGTCATGACGTGGACAAATAAATTGAAGGGCATGGCCCAAAGCTGGCAGTTTTAGCCAAACTAGTATAGGGTTAAACTTGGCTAAAACGGGTTAATTTGAGGATCCATAACTGACGTGTATGTGAAAACGCAAACTTGCCCTATAAGTATATTTGTCCCAAGGCATTATTTAAATCTAGTAAATGTCCAGTTTTACAAAACATTAATTAGGTAGGTATTTGGAATGCTTAAAAATTTAGATGTTTGTGGGTATTTAACATTTTACCTGTGTTGGTTTATTAATTACTCAATGAGAAATGTCAAAAAGACTTTCTCTCAAAATGTGAGATTCTTCATGAATTCTCCCTCACAAAACATCATATTTTTTATATTAAAATATAACGTTGGTACGAAAATTCCATGAGATGATAAAGAATTCATAAAGAATGAAGACTCATCATAACATTTCTCTTGACGACAAGCTTTCATTGAAAAAATGATAAGAAAAAGTTGGCCAAAAGTAGTTTGCTATGTACACCTGTTCGTGTTTGATAGGCTAACCCTGTTTTTCTTTACACTAGTACAAAAGCACAGCTTCACTTCACCCCACTCCCCACAAACACCCCCCCAGACACACACTATTCCCCTGAAAAAATATTCCCCCTCTCTCGTCTGCCCTAAAAGATGAGCTCTTCGGAACCGCCCAAGCCTCCCGCTGATGGGAAGAAAAGAAAATCAATATTCTCATCAGCTGAAGGGGAAAGCAAACTTCAAAAACTCTCTTCGGAACCGCCCAAGTCTCCCGCTGATGGGATGAAAAGAAAATCAAAATTCTCTTCAGCTCATGGGGAAAGCAAACTTCAAAAACTCTCAAGTAAGTAGTGGATCCTATTTCAAAACACTAAAAGTCTCCATCTTTTCAGCCTTTTGGGATTTTAATGCTTGTGTTCTCTTATTTTTGTTTTTTTTAGTTTCTTCTGGTGATGGTGGCAGCAGCGTTCATCAAGCAGCTAAAGCTAAAGGTCAGATCTTGTTTTCCATCTTTTGTTTCAAAGTTGTCATTTTTAATGCATGGGGCTTCTGATTCTATATGTTTCAACTTGTTTTTGGAATATAGTGTTGTGTGATCTCCAAAAAAGTTGGCACCTTTTTCATTTTTTCTTCTTGTTTCCAGTTTCTTGCTTTATTTTATTTTATTTTCCTTAAACCCCTATATGAAATTGAGAGATTCTTATCATATTTCTTCCAAAGTTGTTAGACAAAAACTAAAACGAAAATGTTTCATCTTTCCGGGCGTTTTGGGATTTTAAATATGTTTTTTTTTAATTTTTTTTAGTAGTTTTTTCCGGTGATGGCAGCAGGTTAAGTTGTGAAGTTTATTTCGTTTTCAACCGATCTGTTACCAAACCTTATTTGTTGTTATTAGGGATCGAGGAGGAGAAGGAGGCTGTTGATGAAAAAAACAACTGAACAGGCTGATGATGAGGAAACAAGAGGATCGTGCTGATGAGGAACCAGAGGAGGATGAGCCAGACGAGGTCCTTGTGCTAAATGACCCTGATCGCTGGCCAGAGAGGCGTCCGGTGGCGAGGAGACCAACTGGTTCACCAGATTCCGACGAGATGCTGGGCGATGATGGATATGACGATTGAGTGATGATTTACCCCTTACAAATTCATGATGAAAGTTAATATGTTTAAGACTAAAAGTTTAGTTCCGCGTACTTAACATGCTAGCTACTTATATAGTTAATTATCCACTCATAGTTAGGTACTCTTGGCCTCTGGTTGGACCAGATCAGAGAGGTTTATGGAGCTTCTTTATGCTACTGATGAAATGAAGACCCAACTTATAATTAATTAAATTTTCTTCAAGACTTAATTATAATTATGCTACATACTTAATTTTTCACTAATTATAATGATGATTGTGTTGGTTGCCATCTAATCAAAGACTAAAAATCTAATTTTTCACTAACATTGGTAACAACTAACATGGTAAGGTATGCTATTATCGTGTCATTCCATGCTAATAATACAAAAATATATGCATGACCTTGTATCAGGGTTGGGGTTGAGATTTTAGAGGTCTTGTGCAAGACTTAAATGGGGATCCTTATCAGTACCAGCGCTTGACAACTCTACCAAGAAAGCATTGTGATACACACACACACA